AGAGAGACAGAGACAGAGACAGAGACAGAGAGAGGGAGGGAGGGAGGGAGAGGGAGGGAGAGAGAGAGAGAGAGAGAGAGAGAGAGAGAGAGAGAGAGAGAGAGAGAGAGAGAGAGAGAGAGAGAGAGAGAGAGAATCAAAACAAAACAAATTCCCACTTGGGAAAGTATAATCTCCTGAATCTGAAGTCCATGGGGTTGGGCAGTAAGTGGTATTCTGATTTTGTACCTTTCTACCTCAGTGCCCTAATAATTGGCATCTCCTGAGTTTGGAGGGCATGGTATCTACACTGGCATCTCCCTTAAGTCACATTACTCCCCAGTGAGATGGTGAAGTACTCTTGGCATTATCTCCATTCTGTAGATGATGGAAGTGAGGCTCAAAGACTTGTCCGACCAGTTTGGAAGTGACCCTGGGTGGGATTCGAACCTAGGACTTCCCTGACTCCAAGGCTAGCACCCCACTTTTGCTGCTCCCACTGCCCTCCTGTTCCTATTTGGAGCCCCTAACCTCGTTTTGAAGACCCGCTCATTCACCTCATGCTCTTTTGTGGGCCCCCTGTATGCTTCCCTCTCAAATGGAGGGAGGTAAGGCACGTTCTATGCGTGTGACCTTGAGAGAGTCACATTCCCGCGCCAGGAAGCCCCCGGCTCTCCCAGGAATCCTGTCTCTGGATGTGTAAAAGGGGGAGGGGGCTGGACGGTTCTAACCCTTTGGGGTGTCACGGACTCCAAGGGCAGGACGCCTGGGGAAGAGTGGGGACCCTGGCTCTGAATCAGGCGTTTAAATGCGGACAATAAGGGACACTTGGTTACCACGGAAACCAATGCTGGTGATGCACAGTCCTCCCGAGCCCTAAAAAGCCCAGTTCAGGGGGCCGGGGTAAGAGCCCCTCGACGCCTCGATGATGATGACGCCCCCGGGGAGCTAGCCTCGGAACTTCTCTCTCCCCGCACCCGCCTCCTTGAGCGTCAGTTTCCTTGTCTGTAAGGCTGGGTGCTCCAGGTCCCCACCTCCCCCGGCAGGCTCTCAGGCGCGGGCTGGGCTCCTGACGGCTCCGCCCCCTCCCCCTCCCCCTCCCCCCTTCTCTTCTCCTGCCCCTACCGCTCCGCGGCCTTTTAAGCCCCGCCCTCCTCCGGCCTCTGACCCAGCGGAGACCGGAAGCTACGGGACGGGGACGGGTCGGGAGGCAGCATGGAGGAGGCGGCTCGCTCCGGGCCCACCCGCTGCTGCTTCTGCTGCCGCCGCTGCAGCTGCTGCCGGCCCTGAGCCTGCCCGGACTGCGCCGGGCGGGCGCCGTGGCGCCCCCTGACGGCCGTGAGTGCGCGAGGGAGGAGAGGAGGCGATCGCGGGGGCGGGGAGCTGGAGCTGGGGGGGGTGTTCCAAGACGGGTCCACTGCTGGGGGCGGGGGCGGGGACCTGGAGCCGGGGGGCCTCCAGGAGGGGTGCACTGCCGGGGGCTGGGGCCCGGCCCGCACCCGCTGCACCCATTGCAAGGGGCCTTTCCGTCTAAGGCCAGGCTGTCCAGCCTGGGAGGGGCGGGCTGAGCCCCTCACGGCTCCCCACCTCCGATGTCGCCAGGTGTGCAATGACGGGGGCCCCCGGGAGGCCCCAGTGAGGAGCCCGGGGCCCGGGCCGCTCCGGGCATGGACGAGTGGAAGCCTGGCCCCTCGGGGAAGCCCTTCGGGGTCAGGAAGAAGCGGGGCTGGTACCTGGCCTGGAAGTACCGGCTGACGAACCAGCGCCTCGTGCGGCGCCTCTGCCAGGTGGGGCTGCAGCCCGGCGGGTGCCCCGACCCTTTTTGTCTCCTCCTCGCCAA